AGTTGGGCGGGCGGGCGGGCGGGCGGGCGGGCGGGCGGGCGGAGGGGGCGGAGCGGGGGCGGGGGGGCGGAAGGGTGATGCGATGTGTTCGCGGTGCGCGGGGCGGGGCGCGGGCGCGTGTGACGACACAAAGGCGCTTGGCGTCGCTTTCTTCCTCTCATTGATAAGGGGGCCGATACGACAGTCCAACGAGCTCTGTCATGGAGCACAACTCACACGTCGTGCACGTATACTGCTCCATCACGACGGGAAATCTCTCGGGAGCGGATGAAACAGAACTATGTCCCCGCACGGCTGTGAGCTAAGCCGCGGCGCCGAACGATGCTCGCTGAAACACTTTTTGCGCCTCCTCGTCTGAACAGCCGGTGTAGAACTTGAAAAACTCCGCACGCGAGACCACGCCGTCCTTGACGAGCTGGTCGGCCTCGGCCATGTCTAAATCGACCATCAGCGTCTTCGCAAGGGCTTGCAGCTCGCTCTCGCCGATGGTGCCGTCCCCATCTTTGTCAAACTGTTTGAAAATGGCCATGATGTCCTTGATCTCCTGGTCGGTGTACTCTTGCAGCGAGCCTTTCCCCTTTAGCGCGTCGAACTGCTGTGCGTGATCGACAAATGCGATAGACGCCTCTGCCGGCGAGCAACCGGAATAGAATGCGAAGAATTCCATCGGGTCGATCTTGCCGTCCTTGGTGTACTTGTCGCCATCATCTACATTCAAGTCGACACCCATAGCCTCCGCAAGGTGCTCCACCTCTTTCTCATCAATCTGGCCGTCCTTGTCGGCATCAAAATCGCGAAAGATTTTGAGGATGCCACGGATCTCGTCGCCCGACCACTCCTTGAGCGGCTTCGGGAGAATAAGGGGCATCCTCCGTTCTACGCACAGCTGCGAGCCTGCGGGCGACCCTCACAGCTCACAGTCACAGTCGCGAGCTGACAAGGCCGAACGGCGAAGCTTGCGGGGCAAACGTCCACTTTTCCCTACACCTCTGTTGTCTTTTTTTCTCGAAGCTTCCGCGGACACAAAAGTGGAGGACGTGCGTGGTTGCCGACCCAACCAACTTTCGGGAAGAAGATTCCGGCGTTATCAATCGTTTGTTTGGCACCAAGAGGCTTTGATTCTTACGACGCTGTTGTAAAATTCTCAGTGTATGTAGCTCTTACGAACATACCCATTCTTACGACCCTCACCCGCACTGGAGGTGTGCACTCTGCTAGTACTTGTGTGCTCACACAACTACACTGTGGGGGGTGCCCGAGCATGATGTATGTGCGCGTCTGTGCGTGTGTGACACAGACGTTGTGTCACACGTTGTATGCGCGGGGCTTCCCGCGGGGACCGAAGACGTACCGCCGCCGCCGCCGTCATCAATAACGGCCCGATTGGCCCGACGACGCCCAAGACGGCACGTGGAATGCAGCAATGCAGCAAGAGGATGAAACTCATCGCCCTCTTGACTCTCTGTGCGGTGATCCTGTCCCCCGTGACTGCCTGCTCCAACATCCTCGTGTCGCCGGCGGCTTCAGAGGACGGCAACGTTCTCATCGGTGCAAATGATGACTCGGCAAAGCGCTTAGGCGCAGTCACACACTTTCCAGCACAGAAGCACGGCCCTGGGGCGATGCGCCGCATCTATCACTTTGAGACTGGCGCGCTGAGCGGGCAGATCCCGGAGCCGAACGTCACGCACAACGTTATGTCGCACGCCAATGAGCACGGCCTCGTCATCGCAGAGACGACGCATGGCGGCATTGCGCGCCTGGCGGGCGGCAGCGAGGACCTGCTCGACTACGGCTCGCTCATAATGGTGACGCTCCAACGCGCAAAGACGGCACGCGAGGCGGTGCGGACGATCGTGGCGCTATGCGAGGCCCACGGCGAGATGACGGCGCAACATGCCGCGCCTCGATAACGCACGTCCCACCACGCTTCCATTCCACACGGTAGGCTACGCCTCCACCATGGAAGGCTTTTCCATCTCGGACGGCATTGAGGCCTGGTATATGGAGCTGATTGGCAAGGGCAGGCACGGTAAGGGTCTCGTCTGGGTGGCGCTGCGTGTGCCAGACGGCTATTTCACTGCTAACGCAAACCAGGCTCGCATCACGCAGTTCCTGCCGTGCGACGACCCAGACTCCTGCATGATGGCCCCCGACGTCCTCATTTTTGCCGTCGCGCGCGGACTGTGGAACGGGTCCACCAGCGACCCCACCTTCAGCTTCTCGGATGTGTATGATCCTGTCACGCCGACGGGCGCGCGCTTCTGCGACGCGCGGGTTTGGTGAGATGATGCCATGACATGACACGAGGCAGATGATGACTGCGGAGATGCGTTGTGATACTGCACGTAGGTACATCTTTCGCGAGCTCGCCGACCCCGCCGACTTTGACGCTGAGTACTACCTCCCGTACGCCCGCGGCTTCAACCTGACGCGTCGCATGCCGCTCTTTGTCCGACCCAGGCGGAAGCTTCGCCGCGCGGACGTGCACGCGCTCCTCTCGTCAAAGTACGAGGGCTCCGAGCTCGATCCGAGTCTCGACGGCGTGCCCCCGCTGGTCGCCACCACACGCCATCGCCCTGGTGCACACTAACCTCTCCGTCCGTCCAACTAGTGGGCGCCGGTGCGGAAGGAAATCCCTACCGCGCAAACGGCCTGAGCTACAAGGTGGGCGGCGCAACCTACGTCAACGAGCGCGTCATCGGCACGCAGTACACGGCATGGCACTTTGTGGCCACCATCCGAGGCGCGCTTGTCCCGTCAGCTGTGGCTGCCAGGCCACTTCAACCTTGTCGTGTTTCTGATTGCAGGCGCGGAGGTGCCGCCGCCCGTGCGGGCACTACTGTGGTGGGGGAGCGACGATCACGCGTGGGCGCCCAAGGTGCCCCTGTTTGGCGGCGCGACAGCAGTGCACCGCGCGTACGACGACGGCAACTGCTCTGCGCGGCTCGCCTGCCGCGCCGCGCTCGACCTTCCCGGCTCGGTGCTCACGTTCTCATGGGGCTCGGCCTTTTGGGTCAACTCTGCCGTCGCGCGGCTCGTCTATCAAGTGCGGAAGGGCTGAGTGGACCGGGGACGGTCATGTTGTTGACACGCTCATCCCCATCGTCACAGGACTATGAACGCGCTTCGGCCGTTGTCGAATGCGCGCGTGAGGCGTTCGAGTCGTGGGCCGCGCCGAAGGTCGAGTCGGCGGACAAAAAAGCGCGCCGTCAATGGGCAGCGGGTGATCCGAGCGCGGTACGCCGAGATTCAGCCGAGGTAAGGTTGCCGTGCCGGAGGCTGAGCGTTGCGGTCACGCGCTCGGCAGGTGAGCGCGACTCTGACGGAGCTGGCGCTGGCAGCCGGTGCAGAGGCGATGTCAAGGTGGGAGAAGCTGTGGATGGACTTGTTGGTCACCTTCCAAGACGGCAACACGGCCTCGGCAGATGCGCATGACCTATTGTGCGGCTGCGCCAAGGCATCCGCAGTCTATTCGACCCGTTGGCTGCAGAAGGTCGCCGACGTCCAGCAAGAGCCCTTCAGTCGTCATTATTACTAGAGCGATGCGATATGTGATTTTACGATAGGTGGTGGACGATGCCGGCGACCATTACCGGCTGCCAAGCAAGGAGTGCGCCTCGATCGACGCGGATGGCCATTGCCACCCCGAGACCACAGCGCCGCAAAAGCCCAGCTCCTTCAACGTGTGGTTCGCGCCCGTCCCACCTCGGCGTGCGGTAGCGGCGTCGAACATGGCGCCGATATCGAAGCTAGAGGTGCGAGGCGTCATGGGCTAGTATGAGGGGGTTCATAAGGGTCCATTAAGCATTATTCATCTGGCTGCCGAATTTCTTCGTAATTTGGGGGGACCTCCTTTTTTTCAGTGTTATGTAGTTGTAGCTCTTTATACGAACATACCCGAGAGAGAGAGAGAGAGAGAGAGAGAGAGAGAGAGAGAGAGAGAGAGAGAGAGAGAGAGAGAGAGAGAGAGAGAGAGAGAGAGAGAGAGAGCGTAGGGCCCTTAGGGGCCTAGAGAACACAGTCCCCTCTCCCTTTTCTCCCAGTAAGCTAAAAGTACGTACCCGAGAGAGAAAAACCGAGAGAGTCAATCAATCAAGAGAGTAAAGTACCCGAAGGTGGCTACCTCCAGTCGGGGTCTGTTTTTATTTGACTAAAGTTCTTGCCCTGTCACGTCAAAGCACGTGCCTCAAAGGCTCTTGTTTTCGTGCTTTGTGAAACGTACGTTGAACGCTCCAGAGCGTGTCGTCGCCTGTGTGAGACGGACGACCCGCTTACACGCCGCGTGCCTCTCATGAAGTTCCGCCCGCCTGTGGAGGTCCGTCGGCGCTCTCTCGATCCCTGTCCGCTCGACGTGCCTGGCCCCGGAGCATACAACCCACGGAGTGCCTATGCGCCGCCGCACGTCCCTGCACCACGGCTTGGGCCGCACAACCGGCAATTAAAGGGTGTTGAAACTTCCACAGACCCAGTCAGCAGCGTTCCTTTGCTTCCATGGGACGGAGCCGACCGGCCAGTGCGAGGTGCGACAGCCTTGGCTGCAGTCGCGGCCTTGTGCGGTCGCGCCACGGCGCAGCGTTGCATGCTGAACGATGAGGAGGAAGCAGAGCAAGCAGCCGCTGCCGCCGCCGCCGCCGCCAGACGCGCCGGCGAAGCCAGCAACGTAGGCACTGAAGCGACATTCGTGGCCGAATCGGGGCGACGGGTGTCTGCCAGGCCGGGCGTTGGCTTTGGCTCCAGGGTGCCTCGATTCTTTGACGCCGAAAGGGCTAGAGATGAGACAAACCTCGAGCTGCTGCGAACGAAGCTGGCAGAGGAGGGCGAGGAGGGCGAGGAACGTAAGGACTTGGAGCAGGACGAGGACAACGAGCAGTGCGTGTTCTACGAGGCGGGCGGCGAACCGGAAGAGGAGGAGGAAGAGGGATCAACGGCGAGGCTGCAACTCGGCTTCGGAGCTGTGGAACGCCGTGTCCCCGGAGGTAGCTGGGGACGAAGCACTCGATTCGACTGGCAGCGAGCAGCACCGATCGCACCGGGTCGCGGCCAAGCAACACCGGCAGCCCCGACAGAGGAGAGGTTGGCTGCATGGCTGGCGATGCAGCAAGGGCAATTGACTTCTGCTTCCGCTCCATTTGGATCAACCACTCCGCGCATCGAACCGCCTCAGCCGCCCTCGCCGCACTCCTCCGCCTCCTCTCTCTCCGACGCGCCGACTGAGCGCGGCCCGATGCAACCTCCGCCCGCATTCGTCTCGTCTCGTCACCCCCGCGGCCCTGCGGCGCTCATCCTGCCAGAGGGCCGCAAGACGCAGATGGCCAGGATGACGCAGGCAGAGAAGGCAGCCCTCGCCGCGCGGCTCGGGCCGGGCGCGTATGGGAGAGCTCCAAGCGAGGAGGTGATGGATCGTCGCTCTGCCAATGCCGGTTCGTGGCGACTCCCTCAGCCCGCCGCGGCGTGCCGGCGCCGGCGCGGTCGGCCCTTCCCTGCGTCTGGGAAGAGGCTGCATCAACCGGTTGAACCAAAGCCACAGGCGCCGTCACCGTGGGCGCGTGCGCCACCTCGAGAGCGGCCAGTGAAGAAAGCGCCTCCGTCTGGACGCACGCGACCCAGCAGTGGCGGGGGTGGCCCCGCGCTCGGCAGGGGAGTGCCTTGGGAGGTGCTCAAGCCGCGTGCTCCGGCGGCGCAGTTTGGATCCGTTCCCCGCCGCCTTGAGCGAGGGTCGCAACCGCAACCCTGCACGCCCCTGCGCAACATCTCTCACGCGGCTGTCGAGCGCCGGCCTGTCGGCGGCTTCATACCACCGACGCCTTCAACGGCTCCCCGGACACCGCTGGACGAGCGCGGGTTGCGGCTGCGAGCAGCGTTTATCGACGCTCTGCTGCGCGGAGATACCTCACTCACGCCGGCTGCGCCGGCTGACGCCGTAAGAAGGCGCGTGACCGGCGGCTTTTCCTACGTGGGAGCGATCGTACAACGCATTCCCAGCCGCCGCTCGCCGGCCGGCCCGCCGCCGCCGCCGCTCGAGCCGCTCCACACGCTCATCGAGCCTCGGCCGCCGACTGCGTACCTCGGCCCCGGTGCCGCCGTCAGAGCGCCGGCAGCGCGGCCCTCTCTCGAGAATGCGGCTCACGCCTTTCCCGGGCCGGGATCGTACGATGCGACTGCCTCCTTCCTCCTCCTCTGCGTGCCGCGACCGCCCACCCAGGCTGTGCTTTTCGCGCCGACCGAGAGCACAAGAGCACTCGCACGTCGCCGGCGCGAGGCGGCGCGGCTGGTGGAAGGCGATATGCTACGTCTGGACGTCCTCGCTCCCTTGGTACACACGCGGCTCAGCACGCCATCCGTGGTGAGATGGCTGCTTCCAACGACTGTGCCACGACCGACCACCAATCCGCGTCCCTTTGCAACGGCGCCCCCGCCCCCGCTGCAGCTGTTGCCACCGCCACGTGTGCCGACGCCGCTGCTGGGCCCGATGCGCTACGGGCCGCGCGAGGCTTCAGAGCGCATGGCTCCTTGGGGTTTTATGCTACGCCCCTCGACATTCGGGGTGGACTGCGCCTCCCTCGGGCCTGCAAGCTGGTCGCTCGTGGAGCCTCGCGTCCGTGGTGGGGCGTGGGGCGCCACGGAGCGTTTCGCGGCGATTCACGAGCTAGCCGAGGCGCTGCCCGAAGGAGACGTGCTTACGCTCCTCCCCTCCGAGGCATTGATCCGACCGCGTCACGGCTCGCTCGTGTGCATGGCGTCCGGCACGCCTCGCTTTACGGATGAATCTGGCTGGCTGCTGGAGGGGGATGTACTCGCGCTGCGAGTCGAGCGGAGGCTTGTCGAGCCGGCGGGTATCGCCGTCGGCTTTCGCGGCGGACGCGCCCGTGATGACGTGCGCACTCACGAGGAGTGGCTGCTGGGCGAGGGGATTCTCTTGCTGCAGCCGGCGCGTGCGCTCGTCGAGCCGCGTGCCGACCGCTCGCTCGTAAGCATGAACGAGGGAGCTGCCGCTGCGCGCCGGCGCAGGCGTGATGAGCGGCGAGCGCGCCGCCGTCAGCTAGCGGCGCCGGTGCACGGCGGCTCGATCCTCCGTGACATCGAGGCTGCCATCTTGGCCCATCGGTCTTCAAGCTTGAAGCGCTGACGAGCTCTCACGAACAATATCGAAAGTGTGTGTGCGCTTGTGCGCATGGCCATGGTACCGTGTATACGGGTATTATCATCGCATAGTACTGCGAAGAAAAAAGCGCCCGTTCCTTCTCTCAAACTCTTGCTCCTTTTTACCCATCTCCTAGTAGAGGTGTCCTTCATTTAGTTATGTATTTCCCCTTTCCCACAAAAAACACACAGCTCATGTGGAGGGGGCAGACCCACCCCAGTAGCTCTACACATAGGTGGTGTGCCTGTGTTAGTACTAGCAGGTGCCAGTCCGCGCCTGTGTCGAGCCTGCTGCTGTAAGCTGTAGAGAGAGCTGTTTTTGTAAAACTCCACACATACTCTATTCCGCTATAAATCCAAAAAGCACTCACACTTCTGCCCGAATCTGCGTCCTGAGGCTGGCAATGGTCTGCTCCTGCGCTTTGAGTGCAGCCTCGAGCTTAGCTGTCACGCCGCGGCTCGCCTTGGCTGCATTCGCCAGCCGCGCGTTCTCCTCTCGCAGCAACATTTGTGCCCGCTGCCCCTCCTGCAGCTCCGCGATGGCGTTGTTCGCGCGTCGCGCCTGCTCATCTCGCTCACGCAACGCCGACTCCAGCGCAGCCGCGTGATCACTCTGCCAGGCATTGAGGGCAGCCACCTGTAGCGCGCCGCCGCATGAGACGCGTCCGGGAGTGGCGAGGGCTATCTGGCCAATGCCTGCTGAGATCGCGCGGCGGCGCGGACAGCCGCGACCCTGTGCTCCGCTCGCTTCTGCAAAAAGGACGCCTTCTCACCGGCGCGTCGTGACTGGTTACGCAGCCGCAGCTCGTACTCGTGCTGCACGTCGCGGTGAATTCGCGCCTCTGTGCTCCGCAGCGCGTGCATCAGCCTGTGGTACAGCCGTAGGCCAGCGGCGGTGAGTGGGAGTCCAGCGGTCATTGTAAGAAGCACATGGCTGTAGTTCGCTGCAAGAGGCACGCTTGGTATGTGATACCAGGGCGACCGGAGCAAGAGCTGCTGCACCTGCTCAGCATTTCTCGTGACTCGTCCAGCTGAGACTGGAGCTCTCGCAGCTGGGGCAGAGCAGACTCGTCGGTCTGGCAAGCCTGGTGGTTGCGGACGCGCCGGCGGCCACCAGCTGGTGTGGGGATAAGCGGCACACTTGCGGACGGGCGCAGGGTGGGCGCGCCGAAGCCGATGTCCGGGAGGGCTGGCATATATATGTGTGTGAGTGTTTGGCGCCGACAATATGGCCGTTACGAATGGTTTCGTAAAAAATAAAACAAAAAAGAGAGCAGCAGCAGCAGCAGGGGCAGGGGCAGGGGCAGGGGCAGGGGCAGGGGCAGGGGCAGGGGCAGGGGCAGGGGCAGGGCAGGGGCAGGGGCAGGGGCAGGGGCAGGGGCAGGGGCAGGGGCGGCAGGGGCAGGGGCAGGGGCAGGGGCAAGGGCAGCTTATTGGAGGCGCGAGAACGAACCTGCGACCACTGCGAGGCGTGCGCGTGGCCGCTTAAATGCGGCCCGATGGGGAGGAGTGGGGCGGATTACATCGGCTTCTTACACAGCCCTTCCTTGCAGCGAGCCCCCTTCAACCCACCCGCGCTAGGTCTCGGGGGACGCAGGGGTCAGCCCCGCGCGACCTCGGAAACTAGCCGGGGCCGCAGTCGGAGAAGGGGCAACCCCGTGCACTGACGGTCGGCCGTCAGAAAACACGGTCACACACCAATCCTCGCTACCCAACGCGGCTAAAGGATTTCCCCTCGACCACCTTGAGAGCCGTCGCGAAAAAAAAAGCTGCATCCGGCCATCGACGATGTGTGTGTACATGCCGGCGCCCGCCCTGCGTTTCTCGGTCTGCTTGCTTCTTACGTCCGTCGCTGAGGCGCACGTGTTCGCCCATGCGCGCGCCATCGCCGTGGCCAGCGTGCGGCACACAGGCAGCGTCGCGGCAGCTCCGGCAGCTGCCCTGGACGGCAACCCAGTGTCGCGTAGGCTATTGCTCCGCGGTGCTGTGTGGGCCACCGGCGTGTACAGTAGCGTTGGATCGGCCGCCTGCGCGTCGGCGTACACCGTCAGCCAAGTCAAACCAAGCGAGAAGGAGACGTACGAGGTGGCTCAGAAGGGCGATGGAGCGCTCCGCGTCCTTTGGGTTGGAGCCGGCAGCTTGAGCGGCGTGTTCAAGGGGCTGTTCCCGGCCGGCAATGAGGTAGTCGCAGTGGATCTCGTTCGGCCAGACCGAACGGACTATAGCGCCGCCACAACCTACGCAGCTGAGCACGGCGTGTTTCTCACCTTTGAGCAGGGCGACGCGACCAAGCTCAAGTTTCCCGACGGGTCGTTTGACGTGGTGGTGAGCTCCATGTTTCTGTGCCAGGGGAGCGAGCTCGATGTTCCCGTGCCGAATTGGGAGGAGATCGTCGTCTCTGAGATCCAGCGCGTCCTGAAGCCAGGCGGGCGCTTCGGTTTCTACGAGCACATTGAGGACATCGACAAAGTGATCGTTGACAAGGTATTTGGCGAGCGGTCTGTCATTCGGGTCCAGGCTTACCCTGAGAGAACCAACGTGATTGCTGGAGTTGTGAGGAAAGTGTAAGAGCGATTCGGCATTTTTTGTATGTATGTGCAAAGAGAGCTCAACTTTCATGTCACTGAACGAGTGAGGCTCCGGCTCAGGTCGTGGGGCATAGCTCGGGTGTAAACGGGGTCTGGGCCGCGGCCCGCCGCAGGCGCCAGGCGCCGATTTTTTTTGGCGTTTTTTGCTCAAAATTGAGATATTTCTCATCAAATTCTCATCAAAATCGAACTCACTACGAGCTCTCTAACTGCACAGCACCTCCTCGTTGAGCCTAGCGGCGCCCGTATCGCCCACGCCAACATTCTTCTTCTTCTTCTTGCCCTTCTTGCCCTTGGGCCCTTGCTGCACTTAGCCGCTCAACCTCCGCCAGCAGCGGCTCCTTGGCATGCCGCGCATTCTCCATCTGCTTTGCTTCGCACGCTGCCGCTTCCTCTAAAGCAGCGCCGCCACTAAGCGGCGCAACCAAGTTCTCGCATTGTTTGCATGAGCACGTGTCCTGCTTGGCGCGGCGCACAATCCGCGCGCGGCGAGTGAGGTGCGTGAGAGCAGAAGACTGACAGCAGGAGCTGCAGGAGCTGCAGGAGCTGCAGGAGCTGCGCGGGTCGGATGGGCGGTGACGCCGTTGAGCGACGGCGCAAAGGTCAATCGCTGCTGCTGCGCCAACGAGGGCGGCGACACGAGGCTGCTGGCAGCTGGCAGAGCGAATCGCGATTCCGGCGGCCGCCGTCAGCCCGCCGACACCGACGGCCTGGCTGAGGTCAAACTCCTCCACACGTCGGACCAGCCATGCGTCGGACACGGCGACGAGACGTCTGTATGCAGACAGCCCGACACCCGGGCGATAGAACATGCCAGCTGGGCTCTTCCAGGGCTCTCGTGGCCCGTGGCGCGAAACCCAGGTGAATAGGGCGGGCTGCGGCGGGCGCAATAACTATTCACAGCTTATGAAAACCGGAAACACTAGAGTCTGCAGACGAGTTCGAGTGGTCTTCGTGCTCAGAAGGATCAAGAGAGCTCTATTCACACCCTTTGTGCGTTGAAGACCACAGGCAATGCCCGTTTACACCCAACCGACGAGTCGCTGGGCCCTCTGACCTGAGCCGGAGCCTGAGTCACTGCATGTCATGTCATCGAATGTCATGATGTCAACCGGTACTTTGGTGGGAGGAGACACGGCCGGCGGGGTCCCCGGCGGGGGGCGCGGAGTCCGGAGAGCGGAGTGGTTGCGTTCCGGAGACTGGGGGCCTGCGTGACCGCTCGGGAGTACGGGAGAGCGCCACTTAGAGCGCCGGTGCGCGGTCGACCCCCCGCCCGCGCTCCCGCGGGTCCCGGGTCCCGCGGCCGCGCCCCCCCCGTCCCCGTGTGTGGTGTGCGAGTGCGTGTGGTCGGTCGTTCGGTTATACGAGGTAGTCCTTGCATTACGGCTTGTTCCCTCTCGTGGAGTCGGACTCGGTCTCGCGCCTCGCGGCTCCTGACGAAATGTGCTGAAACTCTTGTGCGTGCACCGAGGCTGCGCTGCGCAAGCACGGGCGGGAGGGGTTTCCTGCGGAGTCGTGCGTGCGCAGGGCTCCTCTTTGCTTTCTCTACTCCCTACTATCATCTCGTTCCCGTCCTACCAGAGAAGCACCGTCCACCGATGCTGATTTGCTGATGCACTTGCTGATGCTCTTGCTGTGTCCTCTCCTGTGTGTGTTGTGAAGGAGTGAACGTACGTAAAAGACAAAAGAGCGACGGAGACTGCGCGGACGAGTTGCAAGTATGGAAGGACCGACGCTAGACGTGCGTTCGTGCGGTCCCGGCAACCGAACCACTCACCACACCCCGCGACCGACGCGCGACGTGCCGACGTCGTCTCGATGCGGTGTACATAACAATGCGCTGTGTGTGAGTATGACTAACTCCTGCCTCCCCGCAGCCAGCAACGAAAGGCGAGGGGGCGGGATGCGGGGTGCGGGGATCGAGAGCGATTCAGGCCGGCGGCGCGGCGCCGCGCGCCTCCGCCACGACCGCCTCCGCCGCAACCCTCGGCTCGTCTGCGCGCGTGATAGGCCTTCCGACGACGAGCGACGTGGCACCGGCGGCCATCGCCTGGGCGGGCGTCATGACGCGCCTACGGGACGCAGGGGCGGCACGTCTGGGGCGTGTGCTCGGCGGGCCAACGCCCCGGCGGGTGCAAGGGCGCGCTTTTGGTCGCCGACTGCGGCGCCCGCCGGCCGGATGCCGGGCACGACGAGCTGAAAGGTGGGCCCGCACGCCTACGCGCGCGCTTGTGGCGTGGGCTCGCGCGGGGGGCGCTAGCGGATGCGAGCACACGCGGCTAGGTCTCTTGGCGGGCGAGACGGGGCCGGGTGCGGATGGGTGAGGCGAGGCGGGGCCGGGTGGAGGCGGGGTGAGGCGGGGCGGGGCGGGACGCTCGCCTCCCGGATGGCGCTGATCTCCGCGGCGGAGCAGACGACGCCATCCATGCCGCATCTGTGGGAGAGGAGGGCGGGGCGGGGTCCGGTACGCTGTGGGCGGGCGGCGGCGGCAGGCGGGGCGGCGAGGACGGGAGGGGAGCGGGCGCGGGAGGCGGCAAGCGCACTCTTTGGCGAGCTTGGCGAGCCGGACGACCTGCTCTCGCACGGGCGGCGCCTGCCCGACCGCCACCAGGTCCGCGTCGTCCAGGCTCGTCAGCACTGTCACCGCCAGCATCGCCGGCCGCGGCACTCCCAGCCGCTCCGCCTCCTCTGCCGCCGCCGCCGCCGCGGCGCGCATCATATCTGGACCGCCACCGGCGTGGACGTTGAGCAGCGCGGCGCCGAGGCCGACCGTCGCGCGCACCGCGCCGGCGACCGTGTTCGGAATGTCGTGGAACTTGAGGTCGAGGAAGAGCGGCGCGGAGCCCGCCGCCTCGACGACGGAGCGGACGCCGGCGGCGCCGTGGGCGCAGAAGAACTCGAGGCCGAGCTTCACGCCGAGCCCGGGCATCTGGAGAGAGCCGACCATGCTCGTGGCCGCCTCAAGGTCGGGCGTGTCGACAGCGACGAACACGGGCGTAGCCATTGTCCGTCACTCGGCCGGGAAAGCGGCGGCAAATGAGCTCTGTATTCTTTTTGCTTGGTCGGACAGTGAAATTCTGGAAAAACCTGACCGGCCCCTGCGGTGCCCCTACCTACCTCCCTACCTACCTGGGAAACTAAAAAAGAAATCACGGTATGGGTGAAGGTGGGGTACTATACCAACTAAAGTGATGGCTGGTGGTACTCTCCTGCAATCACAGTCCTTCCTGTGACATGGCAGGCCACTATCAAGCCCTACAAGCACCAGATCACCCACTTGGGGAGGGTTGACGTCGTGATTTTCGCCGAAAATTTCTTTTTTTGAAAATTCCGGCGTGAAGAGAGGGAAAAACCCCGCCCAGACCTACCCTACCTCTGAGGGAGGGTGTAGAGGATGTAGAGTGTAGAGCGCTGTAGAGCTGTAGAGCTGGAGAGTGCTGTAGAGCTGTAGAGCTCTACATCCACCGCGTGACGAGGCGGGTGCGTTGTAGAGCGATGTAGAGGCGCTCTACAACGTGAAATCTCTACAACAAACTCTACATCATAAGCGGCGAACGAGGCACGGTCGCTCTCCGACATGAGGCGCGTTGCACTTACCAGTGCTGCCCTGGCCTTCTGTCTGCCCGCCCAATGGGTGGGAGGTGCCTCTGCTGCTGTGGCATGCCTCACGGCTGCGACTGGCCGGCGCCTCGGCGCGTCAGCTCGGCTTGGCGTAGCGATCGTGGCCAGCGCAACTCGCCTGGACTCAACGCTCAGCCAGGAGCTCCCGCACGCGCTGGCGCGAGTCATGGCGCATGCAACGCGTCTGAATGCTCGCCTCGCCTCGCGCAAATGCGACCGTCCTCGCAGCCGATAGTCCACCGCCTGCTAAAGAAGCACAGCGACGAATGCGGCACCGGCGACGCATGGCAGGCTGGTCATGACGCAGTTATAGGGTGTTGTGTGCCGTCAGAGTGACCGTCTCTGTGTGTCAGTGATAGTCAGGGCCGTCCATCAGAGCTCCAGTAAGCTCGGAGACACCCCATTAGTGCGACTCGACCTCTTTGAGTCACTGCCTTCCCGGCGGTTTGGCTGTAGAGCCTCTACAACAAACTCTACAGCAAAATCGCGCTCTACATCGCTCTACAACGCACCCGCCTCGTCACGCAGCCGATGTAGAGCTCTACAGCTCTACAGCGCTCCAGAGCGCTCTACATCTCTACAGCTCTACAGCGCTCTACACTCTACATCCTCTACACCCTCCCTCAGCCCTACCTACCCCGGCATGCTGGCCGCCCCAAGCAAAAAGAATACACACCTGGGCAAGAGAGAAAGAAAAGAGCTGGCGTTGTGTTCTTTCTTTCTTTACAACCCGGGCCCGAAATCGCACAGAGACAGTCACGCAACACGGTCCCCCCGCAGGCAGGCAGGCAGCCTTTCTCTTTGGTCACTTTCGAAGCTTCCGACTGAGCGAGTGACGGGTAATCGTGGCCGTGGCCAAGAAAATCCAAATATTAAGGGCGAAGACGGCTGCCTAGGACACAGAGGACCTGTCGGACCAGCTGCTGCCCAAGAAGGTCGAGGCGTGGGCGCCGGGGCAGTGAGAAGCCCGCGCAGTTGTTTTGGAAGAAAGAAAGAAAAAGAGGACCCAAGGGAGGGATGGGAGGACGGCACGCCCCCACCACCAGTTGTTTTGGACGAGAAATGATAGCACTGATTTTCTTTTTTACCACAGAAGCTTCCAGCTGTAGACTCGTCGCACGAGACCGCAGAGACACATTCACGCATGCGTCTGCCCGCGCCTCCCAAACTCGACAACGCTGTCGCCGCGCCTCTCCTCGCGCTGCTGCTCACGGCTGCGGCGCCGCCGCTGCTGCTCTCGCCTTCTCCGGCGCTCGCCGCCGCCTCCACCTCGCCGACCTCGACGGAGCTCTCGCGGCTCTCCGCCGGCCTCGCCCGCGTCGACTACCTGCTGCGCGACTGGGACCGGCTGACGACGGTGTGCAACGGTGTGCAGGACGCGACCGAGGCAAAGCAGGTGGCGCGAACGATCGGCGACCAAAAGTGCTCAAAATCGCCACTCATCGTGCAGCGCTACATTGGCGCGTCGTCGACGCTCGATCCGCTTTTCAAGGCGGACAAGCTGATGATCCGGGCGGCGTCGCTTGTCGCTCCGGAGCAGCAGGAGGAGTACAGCTCGGCGGTGGACGTGTACATTCGCGAGCAGCAGATGTCCTCCACGATGGCGTACACCTCGTCGTGGTCGGGGAGCGAGAACCCGAACGGCTCGGTGTGTGCCGGGGGCGGGAGGGAGGAGCCCGTCCTCGGGGTGGTGGACGCGCCCCGTCACCCCCGCCGTGGCGCGGTTCGCAGGTGGAGCAGATTGAGGAGAACCTACTCGAGGCGAAGAAGGAGGTGCTCGAGACGCAGGCGGCCTTGCGCACTATCGTGCGCCTGCTCGGCCTGCCGCCGGCGCCGCCCATTGCAGAGTGAGGGATCCGGGGTGACTTTATACCTTTGACCCACGGGATACCCACACCGAGAAAACGCATTCCAACCCGATTTCTCTTTCTCCGATCGCCGCTTCCGATCGCTTCTGCTGCGTTCGACACGGCAACGAGCTGCCAACCATAGCGACCTTTCTGCTAGCTGTTGCTGCGCTGCGGAAGCCTGGGCATCGCATGTGCCGCCTGGGCGGCCGCATGGCTGCCAGTGGCGCCGCGGTGGCCTCCGGCACGCTGCCTGATATGCTGAGGCGCATGGACTCCAGTGCCAAGCGCGAGCTGATGGCGGACCCGCAGAATGAGGCGCTGTACCCGAACCAGGAGTCGCGCGAGAGCTTCGGCCATTATGTCGAGTGCCAGCCCGACCCGCTTCCGCAGCCGTACCTCGTCGCAGCGAGCGCCAGCATGTGCGGTGAGCTCGGGCTGAGTGCCGAGGAGGCCAAGGAGGATGGGTTCGTGCGGCTCTTCTCCGGTGACCTACGCGACGCGACCCTCCGTGCGATCGCCACCCCCTACGCCGTCTCCGTCTTCGGCAGCCCGATCTGGGCGCCCGACCCGTTTGGGCGCGGCAACGGGTACGGCGACGGCCGCGCGGTGTCGCTGGGCGAGGTCGAGTGCGGCGGCGGGTCGCGGTGGGAGCTGCAGCTCAAGGGTGCAGGCACGACCCCCTTCTCGCGCGGCGGCGACGGTCGCGCCGTGCTTCGCTCGAGCGTGCGCGAGTACCTCGTCTCCGAGGCGAGAGAGAGAGAGAGAGAGAGAGACAGACAGACACAACACACACACACACACACTTGCCCACACACTCACGGGCACACACGCGCAGGCACGGGCACACTCGCGCACACACCGCCGCCTCCCCGCGCTTCCCAAGCTCCGAGCCGGTCGGTCGTGCGGGTAGGCGATGCACCACCTCGGCATCCCGACGACGCGCGTCCAGTCTAGATGCGCGAGCGAGAACACACACCCGCTCCCCGCCGCGAGGGCGACGCGTGCTCGGCTGCATCCGCCGCGTCCTCGCACCGGCCAGTGCACGAGCAACCCGCTCTCCCTCCCCGCCACCAGCTGGCCGGAGAGAGAGCCCTAGCCCCTCCCCCTCCCGCAGGCGCGCCCTCTCGCTGGTCGCCTCGTCGACGCAGCGTGTGCGCAGGATGTGGTACAAGGAGGGCGACCGCGGCGGCAGGGACCACCCGCCCGACACGCTGGTCACCGAGCGCTGCGCGATCACCTGCCGCGCCGCCCCCTCCTTCCTTCGCGTGGGTGAGCCGAGACACTCCCCTCGGGCCGCTCCTCTCGCCCGCCCGGCTCCCCCCCTCCCTCTCCCACGCCCCTCCCTTCCCCCTCCCCGCGCCTCTCCCGCACCTCTCCCGATGCCCCTCCCCAGGCCACCTCGAGCTCCACTCCCGCCGCGCCTCCCGCCCCGCCGACCGGGACGGAGAGCACGACCCCGAGCCGACGGCGGCGGAGGCGCGCCGCATGCTGCTGCAGCTCTTCGACGCCGCCGTGCGGAGGGAGTTTGCGGCCGAGGTGGACGGCG